AACTGGAGTCTGACTGTCTTTCAAGGCCATGTCCCCACTGACCCAAGAACCTCCCCCTAGGCCCTGCCTCCTAGACATCCTACCATCCCCTGCTAGCACTTCTCGAGGGACGAACCCAGAACCACAGGCTTTCGGAGGTCACTCTAGCTGTATCCACACCATCACATCAAAAGCCCTTTCTGACAGTCTCTCTTGGCCAAGTAGGCTTCTGCTCCACGCAGTATGAAGATCCTGGCTCCACTGCCCTCTTATTTCCTTCTCCTAGCATCTGTGTGGTGGCCTTAGAGCCTTGGTTCTTACCCTTATGTTCTAGGAAGTGCCTAGCTTGGGCCACTCTGCTACCCAGTGGCTTGGCAAGGCCCTTTGGCTCCTGGAGTCTCCAGCTAGAGGTGGGGATACAAGTGCTACTTCCTGCCTACCAGGGACATAGGCAGGCCTCTCCACTCTGCTTATGAGGGAGCTGGCCTCCTGACCTCTGGAATATAGCTGCAAGTAGTTCCCTGCTGCTCCTTCAAGATACGGGGGATGCCAGGTCTGCGGAGGCAGCTGTCCCCCGGGGCACCTGCTACCCGCAGTCTACCTCTGGGTGCAAACTGGTGTTTGCACGTCTTTTGCTCCTCAAGAGGGATCTCAGCTCACCAGGATCTTATGCACGGACACTGAGACTCCAGTCTGCTCAGGAGCTAAGTCCAGGACAGCCTTGCCTCCAGGGTGCTCTGCTGTGAGTATCTCTGGCCTGAATGTGCCAGGGCTCAGGGACGAGCAGGTCAGTGCACATGAGCTTTCAGAGCAGCAGCTGTCTCTGTCTCTCAGTCAAGCAACGCACGCTGGCAGCACAGCTGTGCCAGTAGGACGGAGAGGAAAGAGCGCGAAGACCCTGTCTTCTGGGCCGACCTCTGATCTCACCTGCTGCCACTGTGGCTGTGTGAGCCCGGACCTGTCATCTCACCTCTTGCAGGCCTCATTTCCTCTTCTGTTTCTAGAGACATCCTCTAGGAAGGAGGAAAAAAATCTCTGAGGGGGAACAGGGCATCTTTACAAGGATCCTAAACTCTTGGTCATGGGAGGCCGGGGAGATGGCTCACTGGGATAAGTGCGTCCCTGGCAAGCGCAAGGGCCTGAGTTCAATCCCTGGTTCCACCAAAAAAAAAAAAAAAGGTTCATCTAAACTCTTGGTCATGATTTCATGTGATAAATCAAGGACCTAAGGGTCCAGATACCACTTCCTGGGCTGGCAGAGAGTGGCGGCTACCAGGCTCTGAGTTTGCAGGAGATGCTCCATGGGGAGAGGATGCTGGAGGAGTTAGGAGCCCTCAGCCCTGGGAGCGAATCCCCCAGGGTTTCCAAGTTGAACTGACTCCTTCTCCCTGGGAGCCCAGCTTTTGCAGCAGTAAACACCCTTCTCCCTGTGGCTGTGCCCAGGGTGGCCAAGAAGGTCCTGCTGGGCTCCCTGGAGGAAAATCATGGGCAGATTTACACAGAGAGGGCTGGAGGGGCTCCTAGAGGTCATCTGAAGCCCTCTGGGGACATCTGGATTGGGAGGTACGCATGGGGGAGGGTGGGAGCTGGAAGGAGGCACAGGGCTGCAGTGGGATGGGGCCCACAGTGAAGGCAGGGCTGGCAGCTGTGCGGGTGGTCATGGCCTTGCTACTTTGTTCCTTGGCTCATTCATTCATTCATTCATTCATTCATTCATTCATTCATTCATCTATGCATTCACTCACCCATCCATCCATCCATCCATCCATTCATCCATCCATCCATCCATCCATTCATTCATGCACCCATCCAACATTTGTTAAGCATTGCCAAAGGCTATGCAGATACCAGTGCTGGGGATAAGATAAGCAATGCCCCTTGGTGTTCTGGTCTCCGTGCTAGCAGTGCAGGGGGAAGACAGACATCAGGGAGGAAGCTGCATGGAGAATCCAACTGGAATTGTGGATGGAGGGCTGGTGCAGCCCCAGAAGGGGTCCTGAGCTGGACCTGAAGGCCGTCCTAAAGGGCAGGAGAGCTGGAAGAGTGTGCTGAGTGGAAGGTGCAGCTGGTGGGGCCCCAAGGTAGAAGAGCCTGATGCTCTTGTGGAGCTTTGTGTGTGAGAGGACCAGGAGCCAGGAAGAGGCAGGAGGGCTGTCATGCTGGCCCTTGGCTTTTCAAGGAGTCCTGGCTTGATTTGGAGGGTGGCATGGAGCTCTTGAAGGGTTTTAAGTAAGGAAGTGATGTGACCAGGCTTTCCTAGTATAAGTAGGACTCAGCATGTTTCCCTGAGATGCAGGGAGTATAGGAGGCCGCAGCCAGGAGGGCAGGGAGCTGGCTGCCCCCATACTCACTGGGATGGCTAGGACTTTAAGGCAACTGAAGGCTGTCGGTACATGGGACTTGTCAAGTAAG